CAACTCCCAGAATTCCTGAGCCAGCGTGGGATTCTGGGAGTTGAAGTCCACGGGTCACACAAGAGCCGTCGTTCCCTGGTGCCCCGGATGGAGTACGACGGAAGGGAGAAGCGTGGAAAGGGGTTAGAATGCCAGGGCTGCCCGAGGGAAGAGGCGGCCAGCAGATGCTGGGGAGGGGGGAGGATAAGTTCCCCCTGAGGGGGGGGGTGTCATACCCCCCTCCATCCTGCCACATGGATTGACCATCCGGGTGGAATCCGAACCCACTTCTTTGGGACCCTCCACTGTGCCCCACACTTCCTCCCTCTCTGCTCCAGCCCCTATGGGTTAGGGTAGCGATCCACGCCGAGTCCTCTAAAGCAGGGGTCTCCAACCTTGGCAACTTTAAGACTTGGGGACTTCAACTCCTGGGAGTGACTTGCAGTCCCCAGTTCTGGCTGGGGAATTCTGGGAGTTGAAGTCCACAAGTCTTAAAGGGGCCCAAGGTTGGAGAACCCACGGCTCTTGGGGTAGAACTTGCCAAAGATCCCGACACTGATCTCCACATAGCAAGCCTCTTTCCTCCTCCCACCCCAATCCCTGCCCTCTCCGGCCTCCACTTCTCCCCAACGTGACTGGAAATTCTGCACAAAAACCCCTGGAGCCCAGCAGGATTTGGGGCACTCCCCAAAGCCCAAAGGATGCTGCGGGGAAGGGAAAGGGATCGAGTAGAAACCTACTCTACCCTACACTCTACCCCTCTCCTATTCTACTCTGCTCTACTCCGTCCTATTCTTCTCTCCTCTTCTTTCTCCTACTCTACTCTACCCACCCAAAGTAGCAAGATAGGCAGCAAATAGATCCATCAATAACAACACAACCATGAGAAGCACAGATTTTACGTAGGGAGCTCTTTTTTTTCCCCAGGGGACCCTGACAGTCGTTTTACCTGCATTTCTCTACCCAAGGTTCTTCCGACAGCTTCCTTCGCCATCTCTGGATATGCTACAAGTTTCACTACCCCTCATCCTCCCCCCCCCCCCCCCAAGAGGAAAAATAAACCTCCATGTGCCAAGTGAAGGTTTGGTGCAAAGGGAGGGAAGAGCGTCCGATTTTCCCCTTTTACCGACAACGATTCGTGCAATGTGTAACATCGAGGTTAGTACACAAACACATACACATACACACACACACAAAAAAAAGATCCCCAAACTCACTGGCAAAGTAGAAGGAAGGGCCTGTCTCCTTGCTGTAGGGTATTTTGGGACATGCTGGATTTGAGAAATAAAAAGGGAAATTAGCCACATGCCACAAGATGAAAGCACCACTTCCGAGCTTCTGGAAAAGGTTTGAACAGTCAATTATCATGGGTGGTTGGTTTTTGTTTTTTTCATGCACAAACCAATGTGCAATTTTTAAACAAAAGTTAAAGTTTCCAACAAGATTACGATGGTCAGTCGGAGTTCACTACAATTAAGACGTTCATCATTAAAAGTCATTTCGCATACGATTAAGAGACAACGGGAGAAAAATCAAACAAGATTCAAACGTATTTCGAGCCCTTTGCAACCAAGAGGATGAAACACTTGATTATGATCCCAGCCCTCATTTCCCCCCTTGGCCCAGTGGATCACAGTGGATTCCTGGCAGAGGGAGAAGAATCAACACATAGGAAACCACTCAAGCCGGAAGGAAAATCGGAATACAAGCCAGGCTCTTTGGAAGAAGCTCTGCTAGGAGCTCTAAAAGCTGCTGCTGCTATTCAGATTTAGTATCTCAATGGGGAACTGGAATAAAAGTCTCACAGCCAAAGGCATCGCTTCTTTTTGTAAAGTGTGACTTTTATGGGCCCGTGGAAGCAGCCTCCGTTCTCCGCTCCAGAGAAAGGAAGGAGGATCAACGCATTTCTTCGGCGCGTCAACGCATTTTGGGACGGAGGTCAGGAACATCCTCACGTTAAGCTTTGCAGAGAGGGAGGCTTGTTCAAGCAGTTGCTTCTCAAGCTTGTGCTGGCTGGGGAATTATGGGAGTCGGAGTCCGCCCGCCTTCAAGCGGCTAAGCTTGAAAAGCAACTGCGCATTTGAGATGCTGTTGTGCCCCCCAAAACTTACAACAACTTTGAGATTTTAACCAGGAATTTTCTCCATTTCCAACAAGCTAAAGAGCGCCGTCCACACCGCCAGGATGGCACCCCCGTCGAGATGGCAACCTCCCAGTACCCTTAAATACTGAATCCCCAAGAATACCCCCCACCAATGCCTTAGCTCCAGGGTTGCATCAAGCCCCCCCAAGGGGCCCTCGTGTCCAGGAAAAGCAGGCTGACTGAACCCTAAAAAGAGGCGGGGGGGCCTGGGAAAACCTGGCTCGTAGCATTTTCACCGCCTGTAACAATTGGGGGGTTCAGGTGTTTCTGTTCCCCAACAGTGCAGGGTCTGTTCAAGGCCGGGTCAACAAGGCGGCTGGGTTTTCAGTGGGGAGAGTTTTAAGCCGAGACGGGCAGCCGATCAATAGGACAAATAAGAGAAAGAAAGTGCTTTGCCTAGAGAGGAGGATGGCTGGATTGGGTAGAGGGGGGACCGGGCAGAGAAGGGTCTCGGGGGTCCTCCTAAGCAGGAGCATCCATGGCTTGGACCCTCTCGGCAAGGGGTGGGGGGGGGCTGCCTCGCTTGCAATGGACCTGCGGGGGGTCACAGGCATCTTGCAAGAAAAGTCAGACCTGCAGCAGCTCCCCCAAAACTTAAGAAGCAAAAACAAAACAACAACCCCTCCCCCCGGCTCTCTGTAGAGAAGCTTCTAAGGGGAAGGTCTAGGAACAGCCCCGGAGGCCCCCCCCGCCCCCACTCACACAACAGGAGCAACAGGAGCACCATTAAAAAAAAATGCTAAAATGACAGGAACCAAACTTTGCTAATCGGAGGCGTCTCGTGACTCATCCAAGCCGCTTCGTCGGTCGAAATAGAAGGGTTCACTGAGGCAGGGAGTCGTTTATAAGGTGGGCTCCATCTCCCCGCCCCCACCAGGCCTTCCTCCTGTCCTAAGAGCCGGCCTGAGGGAGTTTCCCACCCACCCCCCCCCCACTCCCCGGGAGGCTCTGCTGCTGACAGGCCACCCTGAGCACAGAGGAGCTTCTGCTCACGGTGTGGCTGGAGGCAAACACAGGCCTATTCATGGCTGGAGAACCGGCCTGGTGCTTCCTGTCTGGGGAGGGGCCTGCAGGCTCGGCTGCCCAGCTGAAGCCGCCGAGAGGCAGGGATTGTTCCGTGTGTGTGTGTGTGTGTGTGTGTGTGTGTGTGTGTGTGTGTGTGTAGGATGGGAGGCACGAGCACCAAGGGAGACCCACTGCCTGGTGCCAGGAGAGAATAGCAACAGCAACAGCACTTATATACCGCTTTATAGTGCTTTACTTCCCTCTCTAAGCAGTTTACAGAGTCAGCCTCTTGACCCCCAACAATCTGGGTCTCCTCCTTTGACCCACCTCGGAAGGACGGAAGGCTGAGTCAACTTTAAGCTGGTCAGGATCAAACTGCTGACAGTGGGCAGAATAAGCTTGCAATGCTGCATTCCAACCACTGTGACACCAGGACTCTTCCTCCCTTTTCCTTCCTTCCTTCCTTTCCTTTCCTTTCCTTTCCTTCTTTCCTTTCCTTCTTTCCTTTCCTTCTTTCCTTTCCTTTCCTTTCCTTTCCTTTCCTTTCCTTTCCTTTCCTTTCCTTCCTTCCTTCCCACCCACTTAGCTCTTAAGACTTATATACCTTGCAAACCCCAACCATCTGGGTCTCCTCATTTGACCCACCTCGGAAGGAGGGAAGGCTGAGTCGACCTTGAGCCTGGTGGGATTTGAACTGCCAAATTGTAGAAGCCTGATTTTTGGGGGTGGGGGGTGGTTTACCTGTGGCTGGAGAGGGGCCGGGAGTCCTTCTCCATCACCCCGGAGGGTCTGCAAGGCCATTTCGGCCGGGGCGGGTCTGGGGTCTGCGTGGGAGGCGGCTGGGCCGGCAAATACCCTGAATACTCCAAAGATGGACCACCAGAGACTGAAACGGGGCCCACACAACTGGCCAGGCTTTAGAAGTGCACTTTATTCGTCAAAGCAACATCTCTTTTAACAGTGGTTCTGTTTTCCTGAACAAACTCAGAACACAAAGTGCCGGTTTTCTCCTCTCCTCAGATCCGCAAACGCCTGGTGGGTGGGTGGGTGGGTGGGTGAGGGGCATTAAAAGGGTTTTTTTTTTCTTTTCTTTTCTTTGGCTTTTTGTTTTTTTAAAAAAAGAAAGAATGCAAATCATGTCATCCTACCATACATCGCATGCGTCTGTTCGTGGGCCCCGTACTGGCTGGCAGGAGAAGAGACCAGGCCGGGTTGTGGGTGGGCTGGCGGCGCCATCATCCGAGCGTTGCCCGGAATGACAGGGCTATAGACGTGGGGGTGCTGTGGGGGGAGAAGGAGAAGGAGAAGGAGAGAGAGGGGGGGAAAGAAAAAGGAAAAGTAAGAGAGAAAAAAAGTGAGAGGAAAAGAAAGAGAAAGAAAAAATAAGAGAGAGAGAGGAAAAGAGAGAGAAAAAAGAAAAGTAAGAGAGAGAAAAAGAGAGAGAGAAAGAGACAGGAAAAGAGAGGAAAAGAGGAAAAGTAAGAAAGAGAAAAAAAAGGAAAAGAAAGAGAAAGACAGAAGAAAAGAAAGGGAAAGGAAAAGTAAGAAAGGAAAAGAGAAAGGAAAAGGAAGGGAAAGAAAAAGTAAGGAAGAGACAGAGGAAAAGAGAGAGGGATCGTGAGGGCCGGATACCCAGAGGAGGCTGCTGAAAGGGTTCTGCCCCCCCCACCATGCAGGGGCCCACCGGGCAGCCTCTGAGTAGGACCCCTGCCCCACCTGAAGCCAGACCAGCCCCTCCCCCCCCGAGGATCCAGAAGCTGCCCAAACGCCCCCCACCCACCCCAGAAGACGACCCCCATAGCGATGAGGGAGGGAGCCGCCAGGAAAGTCTATGGCCACCAGTAGCCATGCTGGGGGGGGTGGGGGGGTGGAGTTGCCCCTCCATCTGGAGGTCCGGGTTCTGCAGCGGGTGGGGGGCCTTGGGGGAGGGAGGGGCTCAAGCCCTACCTGAGACTGGTAGTGGGGCAGGTGCTGCACCAGAGGCTGGCTGGGGAACTGCTGAGGGCTGTAGGCGACGTACTGGGCCGAGTAGGCCGGCGGTGTGGCCACCATGGGGGCCCCGGCGGCCGAGGCTGGGTGCATCAGGGCGTTCTGCGGGTGGGGCTCTTGCCGCTGCTGAGGCATGTTGGCCACTGTGGGGGCAGAGAGAAGGGCACGTCCAGGGGGGCACCATCTTCGGCCGGCCCCCCCACCCTCCGTGCCTCGGCCCCCTCCCGCTGCCACCCAGCTGACCTTTCGGACCTCTGCATGCACCCCAAACACACACACACACACTCACACAGAGTGTTCTCCTCACCTTTACCTGTTCTGTAGGTCTTGGCCTGGTTGACCGGCATCGGGGTCATGGGGATCGGGTACAAAGGCTGGAAGGGAAGGCAGACGGCCGTCAAGAGGTCAAGCCAGGCCAGGGTTTCTCATGCGTGGGCCCTTTAAGACTCGTGGACTTCAACTCCCAGAATTCCTCAGCCGGCTGGGAAAAATCCTGGGAGTTGAAGTCCACGAGTCTTAAAGGGGCCACGCTTGGACCCCTCTCTCTGCTCTACCAAGGGCCCCTCCCTTGCCCTCTGTAAGGGCCTACCGGCTCTGGGCTGGCTCCCTCCAGGTGAGTTTCTGCCCCCCAAGACAGGGGTCCCAGGTGGGCCCACCCCCTTACCTGAACGCCCGGGCTGACAGGGACCGGGTACATCATGTTGGGGGCGAAGCAAACAGGCTGGGAGTAGACTGGAGCAGGTTGCTGGTGACCCACCATCGACGGGCTGGGCTGGGCTTGCGGACGGGGCGATGTTGGCGTGGTGGAAGGTTTGGGCTGTCAAAGACAGGAGGGGGGGCAGGACAGAGGTGACCCCTCCAGGAGCAACTCCTGTGGGGCCCCCCAAAACACCCCAGGTGGACGCAGAGCTCCGAGCTCCCCTTCTGGGAGTCAGCTGAGCAGCGTCACATTTCTGTTGGTCCATGTGGCTTCCCCAGTGGCTTTGCCGGCCAAACGGTTGCAAAAGGAGGGATCACTAGGACCGCCATAACTATGAGTCAGCTGCCAAGCGCCTGAATTTTGTTCCTTTGTCCCAAGTCACTTTTTTCAGCCCCGTTGCAACTTCGAACGGCCGCTAAATGAATTGTTATAAGGGCAGGACTCCCTTACTTCAGCTTTTATGGAACATGTGGACGTTGTTCCTCCACAGGCCAAGTTTGGAGGATTTGGGGGACCCCCAAGGGATGAGCTCCCTGCTTTGGAGGGGGGAGGGGAGGCCCTCTGGGCTCACCTGGGCGAAAGAGCGGGGGTTGAATTCCTTCGCGTGGGGATTCAGCGTGGACTTCCTGACTTGTCTGAGGGGACAAAAGACACAAACACACAGGTACACAAAAGGGCAAGGAAGACCCACCGAGGGCTTGTTTCAGGAGGCTCCAGGCTGCGCGTGGGAAGGAAGGAAGGAAGGAAGGAAGGAAGGAAGGAAGGAAGGGAAGGAAGGGAAGGGAAGGGAAGGGAAGGGAAGGAAAGGAAGGGAGGG